ATTCTGGAGGCCAACTCGTTCCACATAAAGCCGTCCAAATGTTCTTTTGGGCAGATGATGGTTGAATATTTGGGGCACTTCATATCACAGGAGGGCGTGAAGGTCGACCCACGAAAGATTGAGGCTATGGTCGATTGGCCTAAGCCAACTAGTCTCACGCAGTTGAGAGGATTTCTAGGACTCACGGGCTACTACCGAAAGTTCGTAAAGGATTATGGAACCATCGCCAAGCCACTGACAGAGATGACTAAGAAAGGCGGGTTCACATGGACCGAAGCTAGCGAGGAGGCGTTTGGAAAATTGAAAGAAGCCATGACTACAACGCCAGTACTCGCCATGCCCAGATTTGATGTCTTGTTCGAGGTACACACCGATGCGAGTGACATTGGGATTGGAGTTGTGCTAGTGCAAGAGGGGCGACCCCTAGCCTATCTCAGCAAGGCACTGGGCACTACTCGGTTGGGTCTGTCAGTATACGTGAAAGAGATGCTAGCAGTTGTCGAGGCTGTACGGTGCTGGAGGCCTTATCTATTGGGTCGACGTTTTCAGATTGTTACCGACCAACAACCGCTTAAGCAGGTAAGACAACTGCTATCGACTACGAGTTGCATAATGGTCTACTTCTACACCGAGGTCGAATCTATGTCCCCGACAGTGGGCAGTTACGCGAACAGATTATGCAACACTTCCATGACTCTAAGGTTGGAGGCCACTCGGGTATCTATCGCACGTGGATGAGAATAGCCAACACTTTCTTCTAGTCGGGGCAGCAGAGTACCGTCCGAGACTACATAGCACAATGCGATGATTGCCAGCGTACTAAGTCCGACTCACGACGGCCGAGTGGGCTATTGCAACCCCTACCATAGCCCGAGGCAATCTGGGAAGACATCACCATGGATTTCATCGAGGGGCTACCGAATTCTAATGGATTTGACGGTGTTATGGTTGTGGTGGATCGTCTCACGAAGTATGCTCACTTCATACCCATTACCCATCCTTACACCGCGAAGTCGATTGCCAGGTTATTCGTGGAGTACGTGATGAAACTGCATGGAGCACCTCGTTCCATCGTCTCTGATCGAGACCGGATTTTTATGAGAAGCTTTTGGTCTGAATTCTTCAAGTTGCAAGGGACTAAATTATCTATGAGCTCAGCCTACCACCCACAGACAGACGGACAAACTGAGGTGACCAACCGAACCCTTGAGCAGTATTTGAGGTGCTACGTCCATTAATTCCCAAAACGGTGGGAAAACTTTTTACCATGGGCTGAGTATTGGTACAACACCACTTACCACGAGTCGACCAAGATGACGCCATTTGAGTTGGTATACGGGCGAAAACCCCCAACGCTGATAAATTATTCGGAGGGAAGTACAGTCAACGATGAGGTTGGTCGAGAACTAGAGGAACAAGATTTAATGTTACGTGAGCTGAAGAGAAATCTCGAAGGCTCAATTAACCGAGCCAAAGCCTTCGCAAATGGGAAAAGGCGTGAGGAAAATTTTGTACCAGGCGAGTATGTCTACTTGAAGCTACGACCATTCAGACAGCGTACCACAGCGCAAAGG